TATCTATCTATCTATCTATCTATCTATCTGTCTGTCTGTGTGTCTGTCTAGGTAGATACATAGTATACTATTCAAAAGCAGTATTTAAATATACAGTTTAAGATGGTTCACTATGCTTTTTGTCTTGGACACCCTGGTGATGTAAAAAAAAAAAAAGTGTTTCACCTCATGCACCCTGATGTAACCAGTGTTACTTCACTCTCTCAGATGGCAGTTATATGAACTTTCCCACCCGAGGGGAAGAGGCCTTCTCAGCGTTTCACTCTGTTTAAGTGACTATTAACTGTGATGTTAAAAGCTCGTCCTTTCCTGAGGTGCTGCGCCTGATAGATGGGTTCATTTCAAGGTTTTGGCTTTCTATCTCGTAGGCCTGCAGAAAGAAATGTCCTGGCATCAGATCAGATGCGAAGGTTAAGAGAGCGAAACAAAACGGAGAGGGCAGAATTTTCTCGTATTCAGAGTTTTGATTGGATTTCTGTTAATAGAGAGGTAAATGTTTATTTTGTGTTCTCAAGTACTCAAAACTCATCTTCCAATTTTTTTCATAGTTTGTTTCAGATGGAGGTCTCACTGAAAGCTCTTGCATCAAGGCCTTTTTCATGATGTCTAGCTTTTGAGGATCTTTTGGTCTACTTCACTTTGTCAGGCAGGTCCTATTTGAGAGATTTCTTGATTGCGAACAGGTGTAGCAGTAATCAGTCCTGGGTGTGGCTAGAGAAATTGAACTCAGGTGTGATAAACCACAGTTTTAACAGGGGGGCAAACACTTCTTCACACAGGGCCATGTAGTTTTGAATTTTGTTTTCCCTTAATAATAAAAACCTTCATTTAAAAACTGCATGTTGTGTTCACTTGTGTTATCTTTTACTAATATTTAAATTTGTTTGATGAGCTGAAACATTAAAGTGTGACAAACATGCAAAAAAATAAGAAATCAGCCAACACTTTTTCACACCACTGTATGTGCATAGTTGTTACTGGGTATGGACAAACTGTCAACCATTCTGCTAGTAGTGAGTTTAATATGTTTTTTTTAAAGCATTATTGCATTTAAAAGGAGATGCAGCTTCTCTGAGATTGTTTTAACATGCTGATAGTATGGTCTATTTTAGCATACTAAAAATCAGCATGATTTGACGTCAAATGATCTCTTGTAAAACACTGCTTGTGTACAAATCTACCACTGCAGTGTTCCTGTAATTATGTCAAATCTACAGGTGCATGTAAGAGGTGTTGTGGAGAGATAATAAGACAGCATTTTGCTTTGTGGTGTGTTACTTGCTCCCGGGTGTCTGCCAGTAAATGTTTTGCTTCAGTAAATGGTTGCAGTAGGAAAAAAAGCCCAACAGCTTTGATCCTGTAAACTAGATGTTTTACATTCACAATGTTCTTAATGTAACCGCTAGTGCATTAGTCTAAATACTTGGGTTACATTGAAGTTCATTGTGTGCCACTCAGTATTGGAGACTTTCTCATGAGAGCTTTGATAGTTTTGTGCAATAAAAGGTTATACTACTACTTTCACAACTTTGGGGTCAGTAAGATTTTATTTATTTATTTTTAAAGAAATTAAAATGAATTTTATTCAACAAGGACATATTCAATTGATCACAGCTGTTTTGTTGTTTGATGATCATTAATGACAGCAGCAGTATTTATAGGCCGCTGTCCCTTTAAGACCTGATGCACGGATCCGATATAATGATTTATATAATGATACACATCCCATCCGATTTCTTTCTCAGCTGTTTTCATTCACTTGAGACATAACTGACTGCGTTTACCTGAATGATTGTCGAGATGGGTATTTTGTCATAATTTTATGTGTATGTATCTGTTCAGGATTCAGAAGAGGATTCAGTTCGGTGTTCGTGCTTTGTTTGAAACGTGTGTGCGTGCTTCATGTGTGTGTAGAGAAGTACAAGTTCCCTTTCGCCTTTTCTCTCTGGAATTGTTTAAAATTAGCTTGCTTGTGTAAATACGGACACATCCGATTTCTTTCTCAGCTGTTTTCATTCACTTGAGACATAACTGACTGCGTTTACCTGAATGATTGTCGAGATGGGTATTTTGTCATAATTTTATGTGAATGTATCTGTTCAGGATTCAGAAGAGGATTCAGTTCGGTGTTCGTGCTTTGTTTGAAACGTGTGTGCGTGCTTCATGTGTGTGTAGAGAAGTACAAGTTCCCTTTCGCCTTTTCTCTCTGGAATTGTTTAAAATTAGCTTGCTTGTGTAAATACGGACAAATGATAAACTTATACTCTATTATGGTTACATTTTGCAATTAATCCGCGGATCACATGCGTGCCGAACCGTGGAGCTTGGATCAACTACGATCCGTTTAACCACTACTCTTTAATGTAATAATTGCAGGTTACCACTTTTTACAGTGTATTGAAATAATATTATAGCATTTTTTGGAATTAGCTATTAGGCCTATTTTATTTGAATTTTAAATTCATTTATTTTTGTATAGGTTTCATTTTTGTCATTTTAAAAAAATATATATTTTTATTTAGCTTTTAGCTTTTTTATTTTTAGTACTTCAAGTCACCAATTCTATTTTTTATTTAAGTTTTAAATGTAATATTTATATTTGATCTTATTTCAGATTTGTTTCAATTAACAAAATGTTTATTAATAGTTTTAGTTTAAGTTAACAAGAACAACAATGGATGACACAACTGTGTGGGCAGGGAAAACTAATATTAAATACTGAATATTCACTCAGAAATGTTACATTGCAGAAATTCATATTCAGTAATTTAACATAAAATCGAAATGTGAGCAATTCATCAGTGCACATTATTCTACAGGAAAATATTTGTTTGTCTTTCATCAAAATACAATAACCTTATATCATTTTTGAACTGAATTTTCGGTTTCGCTTGATAATGGATCATGAGTGCCATTTGACATTCACTGTAAGATGTAACTCCAGGCAGCATGTTATTAGTTAATGAGTCAGGATGATTTTTTCTTCGAGAGCAGAGTCACACCACACCGACATCAAGTTGATTTCACACTCTCTGTTCGTCTCTCATCATGTGCAGTGATAATAAAGCACTACTGGATCCGTAATGGAGTCTTGACTGGACTGACAGTCAGTTTTAATCCATCTTGTGTTGACCGTTTATGCAATGAATATTCAACATGACAATACATGTTGATAATATTACAGCAAGGAAATACTCTTGAGAAAAAGGAAGCAGCCTGCACTAAAATGTATGTGTAACAGATGAATCCAAATTTAATGAATCCAAATCCAAATGTATTTATTTTTGTTTGTTTAATTATGGATTGACTGTTTGATTGCAGTCCTATGCGGTTTTATTTTGGTACTTACCTATAATTTTAAAGTAGTGTTGTGGCTGTTAAAATTCTGTCTTAATTGGATTGTGAAACCTGTAAGTCAGCCAAAACGTTCTGAAAACTTGTTTTTTAAAGAGCAGGTCATATGGTATTTTAAAGTGTCCTAATATTGTGTTGGAGTCCCCTACAACAGGTTTAAATGCATCTAAGGTCAGAAAACATTGTAATTTTATCAGAATATACGTTTAATATTAGAGTCATTTGCCAATGATTTCTAAACGGTTCGTTCCAAGCAAGTTCGGAGCAAACCCCTCCCTTCCATAAGCCTACTCTGCTCTGGCCAAGCCTGCTGTGATTGGCACAGAGAGGAGTCCTTGAGCAAGTTAGCGAGTGCGCTACCATTGACAAAGCACCTTTACATAAAACAATAATATAGTGCTCCAATCCGTTCTTATAATAATGATATAAAATACAAAAACACTTATGCAAGCGAATCGTGCCCACAGCTAAAGTTTAGCTGCTAAACTGTGAACACTTAAAACAATAATGGTGGATACGTTAGCCGAGTACTAACTAGTGGTCGACCGATATATCGGCCGATATTGGACATTTTTTAAATATTGGCATCGGCCGATAAGTTTTCCTGTTTGGCCGATGCGTTCGAGGCGGGACTTTTATTTTGACATGGCGGCTGATTTTTATTTTGATGGCGCTGAGAACGGCAGCGCCTGAGCACACACCGCTCACATTCCCTCTTGTTCGCTGTAGTCGTCGTTAACAGTTCTGTCCAAATACGGATAGAAGTCTGTCTAATAATCAGATAGAACGGTTAAACAAAGGAATTAAAATGTATACAAAAAGTCTTATAACGATTGCTTTTATATTATTAATAATAGAAAGGCAAACATTATAATACTTTGTTGTTTGCCATCAGCATTCAGCAAATATGCATTTATATAATTTAAACAAATCTTTGAATGTCTAATAAACATCTAATTTCCAAAACCTTCCAAACGTAGTCAGATCCAGTTGTGAGATCTTGTGAAGTGTGCATGTGTATCCTGCATGATCGCATGTTCTCTGAGTGACAGTCGATCCGTGTGAATTTAATGTGGACAGGAGGAGAGTTCTGCTTGACTGGAGATGCGTGATCAACCAACTTTAAACTCGTGATTTTAAATTATGCTGCGCTTTATGGATTTACCCACTGTCATATTCATGTAATTTTCACTGTGCTGTATGTAAAATGAGTGTTACCTTGGCTTTATATGAAAAAATATGATTAATGCACACAAACATCCCAGAATACTGAGTGCCCTGTTGGTTACAGTGTTTACTTCCTTTTTAATTATATTTTTATTAAATATTTATTTATTTGTAAAAAATACTTTGTCATCTAAAGTACAAGTAGGCCTATGTTTATTTAACACATTTAATTTTTTTTTATCAATTTTCAAATGATTTCAAATTTCTTAAATATTAATTAAAATAAATAAAATTATATCGGCCATCGGCCACCCTGCTTTCCAAGATATCGGCATCGGCTGTCAAAAAAAACAATATCGGTCGACCACTAGTGCTAATGTGACTAACTGATGAAACAACACAGTTTGTAAACCAAAATATGTCTACTGTAATGTTTGAAGAACGCCAGACAAAAGACGCTCTGTGTCTTAACTTTTAATCAGAACGCAGAACAGCTGTATCACAGGCGCAGCAGCCTAACTAACTCGCTCGTCTCTCCCGCATTAACCCTATAACTGCCGGTGCAGCAAAATAAACAGCAATTTCACAATGATTATAAAGTCTGTGCGCTACACTACATTGTGATTAGAACAACATCAGTCTACATTAATCGACACATTCTTAGGAAATAGTGGGTTCACAGCGAATTATCAGAACTACTTCAGTAAGACAGTAATATAGTGCTTTACCTGGAAACCTAAAGCTGCACTAGGTATACATCACATATTAGCACAAAAACTTGATATTTTGAGCACTCAATTGAAAATGTACACATAACGTATCAATCGTACTTACAGGTTGTGGTTCGGAGAGCTTGTTAGTCCAAATTAAGAAGACAGAAGAAGCCAACGAATATAAAAGCCAAGATTAAAAAGTGACGTGAGGCCAAGTATGGTGATCCATACTAGGAATTAGTGTTCTGCATTTAACCCATCCTTAGTGCACACACACAGCAGTGAACACACACACACCGTGAACACACACCCGGAGCAGTAGGCAGCCATTTATGCTGCGGCGCCCGGGGAGCAGTTGGGGGTTCGGTGCCTTGCTCAAGGGCACCTCAGTCGTGGTATTGAAGGTGGGAGAGAGTACTGTATATTCACTACCCCCACTTACAATCCCTGCCGGCATGAGACTCGAACCCGCAACCTTTGGGTTACGAGTCCGACTCTCTAACCATTAGGCCACGACTTCCCCAGAGAAGCAGTCCTTGGTAATCAGAATCAGAATCAGAATGAGCTTTATTGCCAGGTATGTTTACACATACGAGGAATTTGTTTTCGTGACAGAAGCTTCCACAGTGTAACAGAATGACAGCGACAGAACAAAAAACACAGATAATAAAAAATAGAACAAGTAAATAAGGAATAAAAATATATAAATTGATATAAAGGTATTTTACAATAGACAGTTTTTGTATGTACAGGTACTGTATATTATGTGCAAATTTGAGGTGTAGACTGAGTATGTGTGTTAGATAAATAAGTGTATGAGTGAATAAATAGTGTGTGTTCCACAGTTATTGTTAAGTGTTCATGAGATGGATTGCCTGAGGGAAGAAACTGTTCCTGTGTCTGGTCGTTCTGGTGCTCAGAGCTCTGTAGCGTCGACCAGATGGCAACAGTTCAAAGAGGGATTGTGCTGGATGTGAGGGGTCCAGAGTGATTTTGCCAGCCCTTTTGCTCACTCTGGATAAGTACAGTTCTTGGAGAGAAGGGAGGGTTGTTATATTGGTTGTAAAGGGTTGTAAAATGACATGCACACAACCAAAGGTTCGAATTGTATTTCTGTGGTATCCTTGAACACAGCGTCTTCTCAACATGATGTAAACGCACTAACTAGCGGAAGTGTTTGTGAGCAGGTCAGACTCTGTTCGTATTTCGCGGGCAGGCGGGGATTATGCAAATGTATTACCCAGTGACGTATACCCGTAACAGGCAAAAGATTCGAAAATATGACGACTCGTTAAAGCGATTCAGAATCGACTCTCTCTTTTGAGAGACAATATCTTTATTTATCATGCACTTTTTTGATTAACAACTTTGCAGATTGTTTTCATTTAAGGATAGCTACGTTATAAACTGCAAAAGAGATATTTTTCAAAAACCCATATGACCTGCTCTTTAAAGTGGAGCATGAAATTTTGTTGGAGGATTGCACAGACAAACATTTGTTTCTGTGAAATTTCATGCAGTGTTTGTGCATGATTAAACCAGGAATGAGCATTAAAAAATGTAAGGTCAGTTTTCATATCAGGCTGACTTTAATCATGCAGTCAAATATTTTTTCTCTTTATATCTAATTCATATCGCAGTGTCCTTCTGCTTCAAGGTTTGTCAAATATTGTCATTGAGCAGTGTAAGTCACAAGCAATACTGCCATATGAGGCTAATTTATTTTGTGTGTTATGGCTAAATTTAGCCTGACCTAGTTGGTTGCTAGTGAGTGGAGTTTGAGGAAGCCACAGAGACTGATGTGATCATGGGTATCTTGTGTAAGAACCTTATTTCATGGAGTCAACAGCTGTGAAGTTATTTAGTATCAAAAATTGTCAGGCCTCTAGATCAGTGATGGGCAAACTTGGCCCTTCCAGGCCACTTTCCTGCAGAGATTTGATCCAACCCTGATAAAACTCACCTGCCTGTAGCCTTCTAGTAGTCTTGAAGACAATGATTAGCTGGTTCAGGTGTGTTTGATTAGGGTTGGAGCTAAACTCTGAAGGAAAGTGGCCTGGAAGGGCCAAGTTTGCCCACCCCTGCTCTAGATATTTTCCATGCTTAATTTTTTAGAGTGTGTGATCTTAAACCATTTAATTCTTGTGAAGTTTAAAAAGTGTCTACAGATGGTCTCCACTAGAAATCCACTTTGGTAAGGGGGAGAAAAACTGCATTTGACAAGCCGTTTGATGGGGTACTTTTAATTTTTAATTTTATTATAAATATATTTTATAAATTATAAATATATTTTTATAAATATATTAATGCATACATTTAGTAATTGTATTTAATATTTTACATTAGATATTAAATATAATAATTTAATATTTCTATATAATACATATTTTAGTATATTAATGTATTATATTTAATACAAAATATTAAATAAAATCTAAACATTTAAATACAGTAAAACTAATATTGGCAAATATTACCATTTTAAATAACTTTTTTCTATTTTAATATATTTTTAAATGTCATTTATTCCTATGATGGCAAATAATTTTTTGTATTTCATTTTTCTACAAATTATTTTGCCTGTTTTGTCAGGTAGAACTGAAATATTATGTGCAGCACATTAAAATACATACAGAATCACGTTTTTAACTACTCAAGCATAGGCCTGTCACGATAACAACTTTTTGTTGTGCGATATATTACCCCTGAAATAATTGCGATAAGCGATATTATTGTCATTTTAAAGACCATTTTATGCCACTGAATATACAGTATAATCATAATGTAACAGCATAATAATGCAAGAAGGCCTACACACTTCCAAATGACAACAAACTTTTAATTGTTAAGAATATTTAGATCATGGAAATTAAGTATCAAAACATTAGATACCTTAAAAAACCTGAATAAATAGTAAATAAACATGTTTTAACAAAAAGTGCAAAGTAACAAGTAGAAAAAAAGAAGATTTTTCCATCTACAGATTTTTCCCTGACCTTCTTTTCTCTGTAAATGAAGGGTGCACACTATTGCTGAAAAACACAATCACTACTTAGCAGTCAGATGTCCGTATGCTTAAAGGCACAGATCCCTAAACAAGACCATATCTGCAGATGAAACTTTTTTTTTGTAGAAGCATTTTTTTTATTTAAACTAGCATGACTACATCACATTATGTTTGAGAAGCTGCAAAAGACACAGGCGCAAGTGGAATGTACAAAACATGGTGACATTAATTTTTAAGTAAATATAATGGGCGATATATTGCGTCACCAAAAATGATTGAGGTCATGTACATATATTGCGCGACAAGTCGATATATTGATTATTGCGACAGGCCTACTCAAGCCAAACATTTAGAATATTTTCTTGATGTCTGACATTATCATTCATAATTTTCCTTTTAGAATCAAATGGCTGCAAATGTCCTGTGTTCTCTCATGACTGTATGTCAGGCTCTTTGATGTGCTTTTTGTTTCATCCTGTACTCTTGAGATGTGTGTAATGGCCTTACATAAAGAACACAGCAGTAGTGCTGCCTGAATAAACATCAGGAGCGTTATCTGTTCTGTATCAGCTCGCTGTTGTGAGACTGCCGCCCAACATCGGCGACACACAGTTCAGAGGGCCAGGTCAAATCTATTGTGGTTTATTAGGCAGGAACAGTTTGTGCTGATGTTATTTTGTGTTAACAGACAGATCAAATTCTCAGCCAGTGATATATCTAAGGTCACTACAGAGTAAAACAGAGATGAGCAGACCAAAGACCTTGAGGTTGAAGAAAGACTTTGTTCAAGGTTTAAGTCTTATATCTAATATTTATGCCCAGAAATTTATTAAAATTGCATACGGTTTTCTTAAATATATTTCAGATGTGCAGGTCGGTATTTACTCCTCTGATTATGATCTACAGTATTTTTTTTTTGTGCTAACCTCAATCGGGTTTTCCACTTCAAATTGTGACGTTTTACAAAAAGCTGTCTCTTAGAACTGTCTTAAATGTTAGTCTTTTTCTCTGCTATATAAACAAATGACTGGTTTTAAAGCAATAGTTCACACTGAAATGACAACTTGCTGAAAATTTATTTAGGCTCAGGCCATCCAAGATGTAGATGAGTTTGTTTCTTCAGCAGAACAGATTTGGAGAAATGTAGCATTTCATCACTTGCTCACCAGTGAATCTTCTGCAGTGAATGGGTGCCGTCATAATGAGAGTCCAAACAGCTGATAAAAACATCACAATAATCCACAAGTAATGTAAGTAAATTAGGACGTTTTTAAATTCCAACTATTGCTATAGGTTAAATGACGAGTTATCTATACATTATTTTGCTTTCTTCAGTGAAAAGGTCATCTCGTCTGAATCAGGAGAGAAATTTACAAGCAGAAACAGTCCAAAAAACACCTTAATGATGGATTTGTTTCTTACAAACTAAGATGTTAATTGATGGACTGGAGTGGTGTGGATTACGTCTGGATTATTGTGATGTTTTTATCAGCTGTTTGGACTCTCATTCTGATGGCACCCATTCACTGCAGAAGATCCATTGATGAGCAAATAATGTAATGCTACATTTCTCCAAATCTGTTCTGATGCAAACTCATCTACATGTTGGATGACATGAGGGTGAGTAAACTTTCAGCAAAAAAATATTTTATGGGTGAAATATTGCTTTAGTTTTTTTCTCTGCCATAGAGATAAATGAATTTATACAATAAGTTATATGTCTAACTAAGCAAACTATTTTTGCACCAGTTCAGCAGGACTTGGATGCAAAATTTTCACCTTTAACCTTGCAGTATATCTACAATATTGCTGTTATATTAATATGAACTATTAATTGGTATGGTTTTGTTGCACCATATTGCATTGTGCTGCATACTGTTTGCCTTTTGCGTAGGTTTGCATGTCAGTTCTGTGTGTTTCTGAGTGTGTAGGAGGTTTATGCTGTTGTGTGCTGCACAAATGGGCCTGATGTTACCCAATATTACTGAATCATTCAATTACTGTTAAAGTCATGCTAAGAGTGCATTTTATCTTCCTAAATGATGTTCAACAGAAATCTTTTGTCTCAATACATCTTACATCATCGAGTTACATCACATATCCTTAAATCCTACCAGAAGACTTCATTTCAGATCAGCTTCCTGATTTCTAAACTGTATCATCATCTGTTTTCTCAGAGAGGAAGTTAAGGATGTTTCTGAGATTTCTGGGTTGAATGTTGGGAAAGTTAGTGGTTGTGTGGGCATACCAGCTGTTTAAACCCCAGTGGACTGACACACTGTCTACAGTTCGTGCATTTTGCATTTGTGTTTGCTGCCTATATGACCCCATCAGAACCCATAAGAAACCACTGTTGTAGGCTTTATATCACCGTCAGTGAAATTAAAAAGTGTAACGAATCAGCTCATGGGAAATATGAATAATTAATCATAACTAGTTA